GCACACCGCCTCACCCAGGTGGCGCTCATCCGTGGGCCCGCGGGGCGGGGCGAGATCGGGGAGGGGGCTGGGCCGGGGCATGATGGAGGCCGAGCCGGCGCCAGACCTCTCCGTGATGGTGCTGAGAGAACTACTGGCGCCATCATGTCTGGAACCCGAGCCGCTCCCCGGACCCCCTGCCCAACAGGCGCCGAGGACCCCAAGATGCCTCAGACCCAGTAGCAGGTGCGTGAAGGAGCCGCCCTCTCTCCCAAATGGGCCCAGTGACCAAGGGGTCATGACCCTGGTTCGGTTCCCGGGGTTATTCAGGAGCCACCGTGTTAGTTACTGGTACTTACAAAGCCGAGGCTCTGATCCCCAGGGATACGTGGGGTCCCGTGTCGCCAGGGGCCATGCAGTTGCCCTCGCTGAGGCCTGTGTGGGGCTGCCCAGGAAAGGGGGTGACCACACTGCCCTTGTCCCCAGTTCCTTCTGGCCTGCACGTCAGGACTCCGCCACCAGCCTGCATCTCCTCCCAGAGACAGAAGCGGGGCTGGCGGAGCCCCCTGCCCAGGACACCCCGGCCCAGGGCCCCTGCTGGGAGCCGAAGGCTCTGGGGGTTTTGGATCCTCCGCCCCTGGCCGGGGATCCCAGGGCCATGCTGACCCCAACTGGTCAGCGAGGAGGCAGCCTGGGGCCTCCCGAGATTTCCGCAGCCCCTCCAGCCCCACCTCGGAGGAGGCCCCGGAAGCAGCCAAACCCGCGCCAGGGCGCCGAGAAAGTGGACCCCCGGTTCGCGGGAGTGACCCTGAGGTTTCAGATAAAGCCGGACTCCAGCCTTCAGATCATCCGCAGCTACAGGTGGGAACGGGCGGGGAGTGAGGGCGCCCTTTATGCAGCTAATGGCAAAGATAGGGACGGGGCCCGTGGGGAGGCGCTCCAGGCATGGGCTCGCCAAAGGCCGAGCAGGACTGTGCCAGGCCCGTCCTGCCGCCATGGCCGGTCATAGCCCAGCCTGCACCTGGGCTCCTCTCTACGAGACCGGCCTGGCCATGCTGAAGGCGGCGGCTGCAGTTACGAGGCGACATGCAGCACTTGATGTATGTGGGTTCATGGAGCCTTGTGAAGCCCATTTTACAGGTTCGGAAACTGAAGCACAGAGGGGAACGTCACTTTTCCAGGGTCGCACAGCAAGGGCAGAGAGAAATGGGGTTTCAACCTGACAGGGTGGTCCCAAGCGAACTATCTCTTCAAATTATTATTATTATTATTATTATTCATAATGAGGGACAAAGCCAGGCCTTTCAGACATCAGGTGCCGCCTAAGGGATGCCTGATAGCTTCGTAGTAAATCTTTATTTTGGGAGGCTTTCTGGGACAGGATTCAGATCCCCCAATACTGACGCCTTGTCTGTCCCCCAGCCTGGCCAGCAGCAGCCGCTCTCAGGCTCCCCCTACAGGCCCCGAGGCCAACCCAGGAGGCAGCGAGGCCCAGGGTGAGTCCTGGAGACATGAGAGCTATAAATAAGGGGGGGGAGGGGGGCGCCTTCTATCTTCCCTGTCTTACCCCCCACCCTGCTTCCCCATTTAGACCCATCCAGGATGAGTCTCAGTGCCCCCCTTCACTCTGCTGAGTCACCCCCACCCCCGGCTTCCTCCTCTGCCAAGCTGTGCCATCTGTCTCCCTTCCTGACTTTCCCTTTGTCTTAGATATGGCAACACCCAGGGACAGGGACGGGCCCAGAGCCCAGCGGGGCCTTCATGGGGATCCTCCCAGATCCCCCACCCCACACGGGCCTCCTGAGCCTGGACGCTCGGCCTCTGACCCCTGTCCTTTGGCCTCTGCCTTCCCAGGGCCCAGGCGCTGTGCTTCTTGCAGGACCCAGAGAACCCCACTCTGGAGAGATGCCGAAGATGGGACGCCTCTCTGCAATGCCTGTGGCATCAGGTCTGCAGACTGGAGGAGGGAGTTGGGGTAGGGTCCCCCGTCAGCCTGTGCTTGGCTGGCATGGGGTATTGGGAAGGGGAAGGGGTTTCCCTGTGGTGGTTTCTGTGTCCCTGGTGCATCCTGAATGTTGGATTTCTGTGCCCCCATCCCAGGTACAAGAAGTATGGCACCCGGTGCGCCAGCTGCTGGCTGGTGCCCAGGAAGAATGTGCAGCCCAAGAAGTTATGTGACAGATGCGGGATGTTCCTGGGCCCCAACCAAGGCCCACCCCAGGAAGGGTAAGCCCTTCCTCGCCCGGCCGAACCTGTGCTGCCTCCGTTTCTCTAGGGGGAGAGTGGGAAGACGCCCTCCTAAGAGGAATGAGGGGAAAGCTTGGGTCTTGAGGGCTCCAGCCTGCCTTGCCTCTGCCCTCTCCCCATCAGGGACCCCAGGCAGAAGATCCAGGCAGAAGAGACAGGCCCTAGAGCCCCTGTCTCAGAGGTTCACTGGCCTCTTCCGTGGCCCCTGCTTGGCTGAGCTCCCCCGCAGGAAGTGTTCGCAGTAGGAACTCGTGCTGTTTGTGAATAGAATGGACAATAAAGAGCAGAACTCCTCAGAGAAGCAGTGCTGTGACTTCGGGGATCCCATCCCGTGTGCCCTCACCTGCCACTCTCCCAGTCCCAGAATGTGGGTTTGTGAGGACACACACACAATCATATATGTAAAGGCACCAGCCCCCCCATAGAGGATTAGCCACATGCATCACAACGTCCACACAGGGAAATAGCACCACACACAGAGACAACACAGACAAAAGATAGACACACACAAGACACATGCGTCAACACACACACATACAACACACATATAGAGACAGACTACACACGAGATTGAAAGATACATGGGTTGACAGACACATGTCCAGATACACGATAGACACGCATGTCCATAGACACACAACAGATACACATATACAGTCCAGACACACATGTCAACAGACACACAAACACACAGATGACACACTGGTACACAGTGATACAGACACAGTGGGCCCTTTGCCTGTCAGCTCCACCCCTGCCTGCAGACTGTCACCTGTGGCATCCTTACAGGCACCAGTCCCTGCTGTGTCCCCCGCCCCCTCTTTCAAGATCGCTCTCACCCCTCCAAGAGGTGTTCCCAGTCTGAAGCCAAAAGCCATGGGGAAAGCAAGCCCAGGGCAGAGTTCAGCCCTGCCGCTGTCACCAGGGCACACTGACCGCCAGTGCTCACGTGGGGGGAGAGGGAGGGCTGGGAGTCCAGGATGGCGGGAGGCAGGGAGGCAGAGGTGGTCCCTGCCTTGGGGGTGACTGAGGCTTGCCTGGCCACATGCCTCGGAAAGACAGGCGCATACAAGACCCTCTTTGTCTCTCCTGGGAGGGCTTGTGCAGAAGGCCGGGGCCCACATTCAGCCCTTATACCCCTGACTCATTTGGTCTCACCCTTCCGTGGTGCAGAACACCCTCCCCCCGTGACTCCCAGAGCTGCCACCTTCTCTCCGCTTGGGGAGGAAAGGCTCAGCCTTCAAAGAAGCCGCCTTGACAGCCCTAAAACAGACCCCTCCCTCCCCCACCTCGTGTCAGGCTCACCCTCAGCTCCTGGCTGGTCTCCTGCTGAGAACGTACCAGAATTTTCAGTGCTCTACTTCTCCAGGGTCAGTTCTTTACATTCCTCTCCCCCACTGGACACTGGCTTGGAAGGTCCAGGGTTCCCACCCCAGTGTCCAGCACGGAGAACCTCTTCACGAATACATGAAGGGCTCAGACTGTGCATGTGCAAACTCCAGGCTGCTTTGAGCCATTTAGTCAACATTTTTTGAGCAACGACTGTGTGCTAGGCCCCAATGGAGACACTGAATAGAACAAAGATCCCTGCTCTAGTGCGGCCAGTATTCTAGAGTGTCAGTAAATACTTAATTACATGACTAATAGAATGTCAAGTGCTACAGAGAAATAAAAGTATAGCCGAAACTGGTTTGGCTCAGTGGATAGAGCGTCGGCCTGCGGACTGAAGGGTCCCAGGTCCGATTCCGGTCAGGGGCATGTGCCTGGGTTGCGGGCGCTTCCCCGGTGGGGGATGTGCAGGAGGCAGCTGATCGATGTTTCTCTCTCATCGATGTTTCTAACTCTCTGTCTCTCTCCCTTCCTCTCTGTAAAAAATCAATAAAATATATTTAAAAAAGAAAAAGAAAAAGTATAGAAGGAGATAAGGAGTTGAGGGGGGTGGGGGGCTATCTTAGCCCTGGTTCTCCGGAAGGCCTTTCTGGGGAGGTGACATTTGCATAGAGACCTTGGAATCAGGAACTAGCTATGGGATTATTTGGGGTGCGGACTCTCCGAGCAGATAGAATGGCAAGAGCAAAGGCCCTGTGGCAGGCAGAACTTTGTGGGGTTCAAGAAAGGTAGGTGGATGAAGAGAAGTGACGGAGGGAGGGAGGTCGGACAGCAGGAGCTGCACCACCTTGTGCCTTGTTGCCTTCTGTACTGGGCACCCTGCACTGGCTTGGCCTCTAGCGCCCCTGTTTCCTGCTCTCACCTTTGTGCATGAGATGTTTGCATGGGCAGCTGATGAAGCTGGAGCTGTCCAGACCTGCTTCCTTCTCTGCAGAAGGGGGTTTCACTTTATCTGTAATGTTTAAATTCAAGAATACCTGCTATACTTCAGGTATCAAAAAAAGATTTAAGGGGGTAGGTGGGTGGGTGAGAAGAGATCAACCAAAGAACTTGCATGCATATATGCATAACCCATGATACAGACAATGGTTGGGTGACTCCCAGCTGTTCTCTCCTTATTTTGTGGGGAGTGAGGGGCACAGTGGTGTGCTGTGGGGTTGTAGCTGATACCCTGTGTGTCTATACTGAACCATGATGGGCCAAATCCAAGGGCAGGTTGGGGGTAAACTGAGGCACTGAATGAAGGCAGCATTGAGAGTGGGGCAGGGACATCCTGGGGGCTGACACCATAGCTCCAGCCACTGCCTTCCTTTACTATCCAGACGAGGCCTCAAGGCAGGGTCCCCACACCCAGACCTCTGAGAGGGCAGCTCCATCCGTCATGGGAAGGCAGCCTCAGCTCCGTCCAGAACCAGGCCTGGGAAGCCCCTAGCTCCCGCCCCCAAGAGTTAGCTCAATTGGAGGGCAGTTCTAGGCCAAGGAATAAGCAGCAGGGAGAGGGAAGGAGTGTGGTCCCCAGCCTGGCTCAGGGGTCCAGTGAGAACAGGAAATGGGCAATGGAGAGAAGTTCCAGGTCACACCATGCAAAGATGTCTTGAACTGCACCAATACATAGTAGGCCCTCAAAATCAAAACAGCTTTATGAATGAATAACCTATGGGGTGCTTCCACATCACGGAGACCACCCACACAGACCCAGAGTCCTTTATAAAAACTTTATTGGGAGGGTTAGAAAATGGGGGTGACATCCTGGAGTTGAATACATAAATAAATGAATAAATAGAACAATAAATAAGCCCCCGTATGCGTCTGGGGGGCATCCCCCGGCCTGCGGGGAGAGGGTAGTGGGCTCACGCTGATGTCAGCTGGATGGAGAAGACCTCGCCCCCCGCAGGCGTCTCTGCGGTACCATCAGGTTCTGTTCCACCTTGGGCGCTGTCATTTCCACCTGTGCCACCACCCGCACCGTTGAGACAGACAGCCTCGCCCGAGCTCTCGGCCTCCTGCACGTTATACTCGCCCTTCTTGCAGGCGGTGGACTGCACGTAGAAGGCCAGGCCAGCCCCTGCGGCCAGCAGCGCTGCGCCCCCCACCGCACCGCCCACGGCGACCCACAGCCACGGACCTGCGGGGTGGAGCCCCTCAAAGAGGGTGGACGAGCTTGGGATTCCCCCCACCCTGGCGAGATGCCAAGCCTGAGCCATCCCCAGTGCTGGTGCGACCCATGACCCATGTCACATGCCACCAGCACATGGGGTTATAAGCCTCTGGCTGAGCAGAGATCCCCAGAAATCAACTCCCCTCACCCCCAAAACGATGAGGGTGGGGTGGGGGGAACCGTGTCACTCCTCTGTCTCAGAAAGAACCAAGTCTCAGAGTGACACGAGGTGGGGGAAGGGATCTGGTGATGGTGCCCACTCCCATCCTCTGCCCTTGGCCCCTCTCCAAATCCTCTTCTGTACAGCCACACAGTGGAGGGTGCATTGGACCAAGTCTCCACCAGGCAGAAAACCTCCCCCCAGTTACTAAGCCCCTCCCCCCAGCAGTCACAGCCCTGGAGGGCTCCTCCCGTGAAGTTCATTCAGCTCCCTCTCCCTCCACCTCACACCCCAACCAGCCTTAGAGCCGCACGCGAAAGGTTGCCCTTGACTTCTACCCTGACCTCCGTCAGTCTCATCCGTGGGGATTGAGAGGGAGGTCAGGTGTCCCAAGGCTCAGGCCACGCCCCCGCAGGTGCCACTTACCAGTTACACGCACGGTGATGCGCAGCGCGTGGCGCCCATGCGCGTTGGTGGCCGCGCACTCGTACTCTCCTCCATGGCTACCCAGGGCGCCGGCCACGCTCAGTGTGCTGTTGTTGCCGGACAGGCCGATGTTGAGCGCCCCTGGGGGGGCGCGCCAGCTTATCTGGGCGGGGGGCCAGGCCTCCGCGCGGCAGGTCAACGTGAAGTTCCCACCCGGCCGCACGCCTCCTGGAGGCGAGGCGGCCAGCTCGGCCACCACCGGTCGGTCTGCAGGGGACAGGAGGTTGGACTGGGGCTCAGCGCCAGCCCTGAGGATGACCAAGTTCCCTGCTTCACCCACCACAGTCTGACACCACCCCTGCTGGGATGCACAGGTGCGGATCCTGCCTCCTATCAGAGCCCTTCCCCCTACAGCAGCGGTTCTCAACCTGTGGGTCGCGACCCCTTTGGCGGTCGAACGACCCTTTCACAGGGGCCGCCTAAGACCATCGGGCATATCAGATATTTACATTACGATTCATAACAGTAGCAACATTACAGTTATGAAGTAGCAACGAAAATAATTTTATGGTTGGGTCGCAACATGAGGAACTGTATTTAAAGGGCCAGAAGGTTGAGAACCACTGCCCTACAGTCTGGCTGTAGTCGGTACTGCTTCACTGAATGGAAGGAGGTAGGGACCCAGGACTTGAGGGGGACCAGGCTCCTGTTCCCTAGAGTTTTCATTGCTCTCAGCTCTGGGTCCCTTTCCTTGTCCCCGAGAGTGGGACTGGGGGGAGGTGCCCTCGAACTCCCTGCGCAAGTCCCTGTCTGGGAACTGAGGGCCCTCTCTCTGCGCTGCCCCCACTCACATTCCACGCCCACAGTGACGATCCGGGTGTCAGTGCCGTGCGCATTGGTGGCTAAGCAGAGGTAGGTGCCCGCATCCTGTCGGGACACGTGTATCCGCTGAGGCCAGGGGCCACCCTCCCGGGAGCAGCTCACTTGTGGGGAGGGGCGGCCCAGGGCAGCGCAGGCCGGCCCGACAGCCTTGGCCCCTTCCAGCCACGTCTGGTGGCTCGGGCAGGTGGACTCATCCATTTTCGGAGGCGCTGCAAAGCAGCCACGGGGGCGTCAGGGAGGGACCACATCGGGGCACACCCTCCTCCCACCCGCCTGGGCCCCG